AAAAAAGTTTTATAAACACTCTTGAAACACACACAGAAGGTTGGTTAGTTTGGCTAGCAAATGTACTGTCTAGATAGCCCAAATTGCTGGCAAATGAAGTTTGTATGTTTTGATATGTTTTTATGTTTTCAATATATACAGTTTTCAAGAGGGGGAAAGGGGAGGCCGTGACAATGAACTTGCTATTTAGCTGGGTTATATGCTGGGAGAATATAAACATACACTATACCAATAAATTATAGTGGTAATTTGCTGAATATTAAAAAGTAGCTTTTTTTATGCAATTGTAATTGTCATGACATGAAGACATTTAGCATAATCAGACAAGTGCTTCATGTATGCAATAGTTTACTATAGTTAATATTTAACTGCATGAGGGAACAGAATCTCATTCATTCGTTTGTTTGTCCATTCATTCGTTCATTCATTCATTCATTCATTCATTCATTCATTCATTCATTCATCAGTAACTATTCTCTATCCTGGTCAGGGTTGAAGGTAGAACAAGAGCATATCACTGAAACCCTGAGCACAAGGCGGGAATCCACCCTGGATAGGCTTCTAGTCCACCGCAGCAAACCATGCACATTTGCATACTCATTTACATGTAAGGGTGCTTATAGTAGCCAGATATAAAGTAGCCAATCCACCTACTAGATTCGAGAAAACTGGAGGGCCCAGAGGAAACCCACACAGACACAGGGAGAGAAACAAAACTCCATACAAACAGTAATCCAAGCTCAGGATTAACCCAGCGACCTCTGTGCCACTGTGCTACCCAAAAAAAATTACATTTATTAGAAAAGTGGGAAGTGTTCCATGTGTCCATGGGCTGTAGCAGTGATTTGTTGCAATGAGTTAAGAATTACAGCGTATAGGTGAAAAATAAATAGATAGAAAGAGAGAGAGAATGTTAATTGTGTTACATGTGCACTGGCAGTGAAAAATCCCAAAGCTTCACTAAGCCTTTACACTTCTTGTGCTGACTGAATAATCTTAAATGATGTGCAGTACCATTTCAAGAAGTCCCTAAGCCCATGTTCTAACAATTTAAGCATTTAATTGTGCATTTTTATAGGATGTACGTAAAAGTCATTTCTTACTGACTTGAGCTCAGTGTGGCAGCTGAGGCTGAAGTGTTATTTTGCTGTAGAAGAAAACTGTAAATAAATAAATAAATTTCAACTTAATCAAGCTATTCCACCATGTAAAGTAATGTGTTCCAATCTTGAGATGGGACTTTATTGGCCAAACATAAAAGTTTGTGTCTGGATGTGTAGTATCTTTCCCCATGATCTGGGGGCAGTCGTGGCCTAATGGTTAGAGGCTCGGACTTGCAACCCGAAGGTGAACCTGAAGGTCGTGGGATTGTAGGTGTGGGGAGTGAATGACCAGCGCTCTCTTCCACCCTCAATACCATGACTGAGGTGAGACCCTTGAGCAAGGCACCGAACCCCCCAACTGCTCCCCGGGCGCCGCAGCAAAAAAGGCTGCCCACTGCTCTGGGTGTGTGTTCACGGTGTGTGTGTGTTCACTACTGTGTGTGTGCACTTGGATGGGTTAAATGCAGAGCACAAATTCCAAGTATGGGTCACCATACCTGGCCACAAGTCACTTCACTTCACTTCACTTCATCATGCCATCCAGCGGTACCCTGAACACACAACTCACCAAGGCCAAAACACTTCATTTACTTAATCTATGGCACACGTTTTCATACAGTTTGGTATTGCTAATTATATTGGTTATCATTGCAATAATCAGGTTTTTGCTTATTTGCACTCATTTAGCTTTTCAAAATGAAAATGTGGGCAAATGTGGCTTTTAACAAGGGTATACAGTAATAATGTAAGTTATGTCAGATTATCACTCATTTGAACAATATTAGGCTAAAATTAGTTAACTAAGTTTATCATATCTTTATTAAGCAGGCTTAACAATTGATATCAAAGTGTTTTTATTTTGCTAGTGAATTGTGATTATGGCAGATGTTCTTCAACAGTTTCTAACTAAACCATAAATTCAGTATCACACAGTTCGTTCATCTGGATTTGGTGGTTGTTTTAGTTTATCTTTGATTTATTGCCATTTTTGTGTGTACAAATCTTAGCTATATGCAGAATTGAAGGATTGCTGGTGAAACTTTTCTACACCTGACTGGACAAATATTCAGATGACCACATCCAGATATTTACAGCTAAAGGTGCTGATGAGCTGAATGTGTTTTTGCAAAGACTGGGTGAGAAAACAAGGGTGAGAGAGTGTTTTTATTGATTTAAACATTAAAGCCAGTAACTAGCAAACTGTACTCCAGTATGTCCCTGAGCATTTAGAACTGTGCCATTTGCATTTTATAAGGTTACATGTGGCCTGCTATGACAGTATAGCAGGAGTGTCTCATCTTGTCCACAAAGAGACAGAATAGCTGCAGATTTTCATTTAAGCCAAAGAGGAGCATACCACATATGACTAATTAATAGTTTGATGACTGAGACCAACTGCTTAAATAAGTGGAATCATGTATAGAATCCTGCATAGTTAGATTAAACATGTAGCCATACTGGTCCTTTGTGGATAATGGTTTACTTAATTCTGGGGTAAAAAAAAAATACTGGGGACCAAATACTGGGGACCAGTTATTTAAACATTCATTCATCCATGCATCAGTGCATCCATCCATCCATCCATCCAGCCAGCCATCCATCCTTGTCACTGGTATTTTACTTCTGTCTATACATAAATCATTATATTGTGTTTCTCATTTCCAAAAATTACAATTCACTGGGATCAGAAAGGGCTAAAACAGTTTCCTCATTGGACAGGGTTTGGAGGAGAGAGAATAGTGGAAATTAACACAAAGGGCCTAAAACTTGACCTTGCCATTATCTGCAGCTGAGCATCCTCATTTCTCTCTCTTCCGAAAACTACACATTCCACCATGTCGAAATCACATGTACCCACTGGACTTTGCACACACAAGTGTTTCTGAGTAATTTTTTTGTCTTGTGAAAGTAGTTATGTATATTTTGAGATTATGTTGTCCAATTAACTGACGGGTTCTTTGTTTGATTCCTGATGAGTACTCAACGGTATCCAAATAGACAACACCCATTTTTGACTAGATAATCTATCCTGAGGGAATAAGTCCCCTCAGAGTAGACAATGCTTTCTTGTCTACTCTCTGTAGTGCTACATCTTTCAATAAATAAATATCTGCTGGAGTAAAGATTGGATATTGACTCACACACCAGGGTTATAAATCCAGTGGCAGGCTGCAAATGTACTTTTTTCTCACTAAATGAGTGACTGCACTAAATTAACTTAGAGAATGCAGTCCGATAGTAAAGATTTACGTGGTAAGTAATAAAAAAAGCATTGACTGGCAGTGAAAAAAAGAAGATGTTCATGACAAATCTGAATGTGTCATACCAGGCATGGCATACCTTAGCACACCTGATTTTGGTGAAGGTTTGTTGATAGACCCAGAGCCATGGGAATACAATATGCCCTACTTTGGGGAGAGGAGGTATATTTTCAAAACTGCCATGAAAAGACAGCATGGAAGCCAGTGCTTTACAGAAATATTTGCAAAGTGTGCTGTGCTCATATGATGGAAACAAACAAACAAACAAACAAACAAAAAACTATATATATGTATGTGTATATATATATATATATATATATATATATATATATATATATATATATATAGTTAGGTCCGGAAGTATTTGGACAATGACAGAGTTTTTGTGATTTTGCCTTTATACACCACCACAATGGATTTTAAATAAAACAATCAAGATGTGATCGAAGCAAAGCACTTCCACATTTTAAGCAAAGTACTTCCATTTTCAGGGGCTCAAAGGTATTTGGACAGTTGACTGACAAGAAGTTAATTGACCAGGTGTGGTCCATTCCCTCATTACTTCAAGACAAATGAAGCAGATAAAAGGTCTGGAGTTGATATCAGGTATTGAGTTGGCATTTGGCAGCTGTTCGACTGGAGCTACCAATATGAAGTCCAAGGAGATCTCAATGCAAGTGAAGAAGGCCATCATTAGGCTGAGAAAACAACATAAATCTATAAGGGAGATAGCAAAAACCTTAGGTGTGGCCAAATCAACAGTTGAGTATATTCTTAAAAAGAAAGAAAGCACTGGTGAGCTCAACAACATCGAAAGGCCTGGAAGACCACGGAAGACAACTAAAGTGGATGATCGCAGAATCCTTTCCTTGGTGAAGAAAAACCCCTTCACAACATCAACAGAAGTCAAGAATACTCTGGAGAAGGTAGACGTATCATTGTCAAAATCTACAATCAAGAGACGCCTTCATGAATGTAAATACAGAGGGTTTACAACAAGGTGCAAACCCACTGGTAACATTCAAGAACAGGAAAGCCAAATTAGACTTTGCCAGAAAACATCTAAAAAAGCCTCCCATGTTCTGGAATAAGATTCTTTGGACTGATGAAACCAAGATTAACTTGTACCAGAATGATAGGAAGAGAAAAGTATGGTGAAAGAAAGGAACAGCTCATGATGCAAAGTATACCACATCATGTGTCAAACATGGTGGAGGCAGTGTAAAGGCATGGGCATGTATGGCTGCCAATGGAACGGGCTCACTGGTGTTTATTGATGATGTGACTGCTGACAGAAGTAGCAAGATGAATTCTAAAGTGTATAGGGCTATACTCTCTGCTCACATTCAGCCAAATGCTACAAAACTGATAGGACGCCGCTTCACAGTACAGGTGGATAAACATACTGCGAAAGCAACTCAAGACTTTTTGAAGGCAAAAAAATGGAATATTCTTCAATGGCCAAGTCAGTCGCCTGATCTCAACCCAATAGAGCATGCTTTTCACTTACTGAAGACAAGACTGAAGGCAGAAAGACCCACAAACAAGCAGCAACTGAAGGTGGCTGCAGTGAAGGCCTAGCAAAGCATCTCCAGGGAGGAAACTCAGTCTTGGGACTGGCACTGGGAGTGCACTGCCACTGGCCGGGAATTGAACCCAAGCTGTGGCGATGAGAGTGCCGAGGCCTAACCACTGGTCCTCCAGGGACTGTCTGAAAAACCAATCATGGCCACTAAAAATATATTTTGTCATCTTTTATGGCATAAACCAACAACTGATGGTAGATAGCTAATAATGTCATGCATTATGATCCAGTTCGCACTGTTTGCCTTTGACGGATTAGAATCATGTGTTTTCCTTGCTATAATGCATCTAATGAATTTATTAGTCTCATAACTGAGTGTTACATCAGAGATACCACTTATCCATCTAATTTTGTTGCCAATGAACAGTTGATTGTATTCATCACGTTTAAATGTTATAGGTTATTTTTCTTTTAGAATTCATGTAGTATATCACACAGTTTGAAAAAAAAAAGTTTCCATCACACAGTACATACATCCTGCTCACGTCTCTAACGTTTATGTGCTAGTCTGCTCTGTGCTTACTCTGTGCTATCTTGACAGCCATATATTACATGCTTATGCAAGTGGTTCCTGACAGCAAATTTGTAAAGCACTTTTTATTGTCATTTACCACACATTTCGCTTCAGGGTAAGCAATCAAAAAAGTGCTATACCTTATAGTAAATCCAAATGTATATGCATAAATCATTGCATTTCATTAGCAGTGTTTGTGCAGATGGTGACATTGAAATGACACTGTAGATGGAAGAAGTGCATTAATTATTAATTTTCTGTCACATATTTCTTACTAATCTAGCATCAGTAGTACAGTGCTACAAATAAAACACAACCATGTGTGCAACATGATTGTAGAGATGAGAGAGGGACTAGGCATTTGCTGCAAAACACTGCCCCCTCTCTCCAAACCACAGAAAAGCACTTAATCAAATATTTGCTGCAGCAGTGGATTTTCAGTGTGGGAGCTTCTTGTCACTGCAGTCAGCTCTAGTCATCATCAGTGCAAACAAGGCTGGCACAGCAGGACTGTCAGGTGGGGCTTGTATTGACACCTAGTGCTATGAAAAGTCAATCCGAGCAGACAAATGCTGCTGCTGTAGCACAGGAGGGTGGCTCAGGAGTCTGTGTGGTGCATGGCCAATGTAAAGGAACCACATTGCTATGTAGTGGCAGTTGCCTTAGGCTTGAATACATCATCCCACTTGGGACTGAGGGGAATTTAATTTGGCAGGTGTTTAAAGGACATCAGTCTGACTATTTGGTATTTAAATAAATCTGAAATAAACATTGAAAATATTTAATCAACAACAACAAAAAAGATTCCATCTACTCTTGTGAAGGTTTCTTTTCCTCATACAAATTTAACCTGCTCGTGCACAAAACAGTATGTACTCAAAATACTATGTCAAATGGTCACATTGTTGAAGATCTTGGCATGTGTGTATGCACACAAGAAGGTATCCAGGTAAATCTCACAGTCCCTGCTGGTTAGGAGGCGTAAAAGAGACTTTACAGGTTGCCCTTAACATCTTTTGGATGTTAGCTGCAACCACAGGAAGGTGTGATGTGTCTAGGTCCTTTGGGAGATGAGCTATGTACATGGTGTTCTTTCCACCTGAACTGATAGATTTAAAGTGTTATGTATTATCATCAGCTTCTGGAGGGATAGCCATACAATTCTGTTGTCCTGATCCACATATTAGGAGCAGTAAATCAGTTAAAAAATAATGACCTTGATCGAACACAATGTATACATTATCAAGAGCCTTTTTTGAAGAACACCAACCTTTTGACAGAACACCACATTTTTTCCAAGGGAGTCATACACTTTATTATATATAAATATATACACTGAATTATATATTTAGCTGCTGTTCTTACTACTTATACTATGCAAGTAATTAGAAGCTGTGTATAGTTATATGCTAATTTATCACATGGGGATTGCCGTATTACAGCTTCACTAACAGATATGTAAAATATAAAAAGTATATATAACTGCCATTAACAAGAAACTTTCATATTCCTTACTCATTTTACTTTGCATCTGAATTTTTTTTATAATTCCTAACAACAATCAGTCACTACCAAGTAAACTTTCAAAACTCTTCAGTCCCCTCTGAGCTTAGCACATCAGTTCATAATCAAAATGCACTACAACTATCAAACTCCACAAACATGTTTCAAAATAAAGTCTTATCAAAACACCAAGCACTACTTCTCTTCTAACGGGAACACTTTTTCAAACAGATGAAAATGGCCAAAAATGTCCTTATAGTTTATTTTGTATTGTCATTGGGGTCCCTGGAGAGCCAGTGGTTAGGCAACAGCGCTTTCACCACTGCAACCCAGGTTCGATTCCTGGAAAGGGAACCAACCCCAGCCACTTGCACATGACAATGCACTCCCATTGCTGTTCTCAAGCTCGGATAAAATTGGGGAGGGCTGCCTCAGGAAGGACATCCGGCGTAAAAACTGTGCCAAATCAAATATGTGGACCATTGATACGCTGTGGCGACCCCGAATGGGAGCTACCGAAAGAAGAACATTTTGTATTGTCATTGTGTTTCAATTGGCTGATAGAAGCAATTTTTCAATTAGTTTGAATTCCAAACAGAATGGCATATTTCAGTAATTGTGCAGAATATACCTTATATAATAGGAAAGTCTAACTATCAAAATGTACATTTTGGTCCACACTGACCACTGCTGTGCTAAATGTGTGAAGAGCTTTGAAAAGTTTGGTAGTGGCTAAGGCTTTTTTAACCAAAAAAAAAAAGAATTAAGCCCCTCCACCATGTGGAGAAGCAGTAGGCAAAACAGTATCATTGCAGTGCCAAGATCTGACAGGCATCAACACAACCTAACACCAGGGGACCACCTATGGCGGCCATTTGTCAGTTCATTTAAAGTGATAAAGGGCCCCTGTAAAATGGTCATTTTTGAAGGCAACAAGCAATGGACAAACTGCTTCTGAGATTCCTGGCACTGTTTTTATGCTGAATAAAAAAAATGGCCATGGCAGCAGATGGGCTTACTTACAAATCATCATGTCCAACCACTAAACATTGCATTCTGTAAAATTAAACTGTAACTTAAATTGAATAAAACAGTTGAAAGTATTGTTGCTCAAAATATATTAATTTAAACAAATATTAGTTTTATATAAGAAATTGTTTTGTGGCAAAATATACTAACTGAAAAAAATGCTGTTTGCATAAATATTCAACCCCTGTGCTGTGGAAGCTCCAAGTTTACACAGATGAAAATATATTGTTTAAATCAGGACACAGTTGGCTTTCAATTGGCCTCTACCTGTAAATCATTAAAACAAAACAAAAACAAAAACAACAACCAAAAATCTGGATAAAAGACCCCCTTAAATCAAGTACCACCGGTCAGACTTTGAACCTGAAGGAAAGCTGAGAAAATGAAGACCAAAGAGCATTCTAAGGAAATGGATGCGATAAAAAAAATATGATAGGAAAATGCTACATACATATATTATTTTATATCTTTATCCAGATTTTTGTTGTTGTTGTTGTTGTTGTTTTTGTTTTGTTTTAATGATTTACAGGTAGAGGCCAACTGAAAGCCAACTGTGTCCTGATTTAAACAAGTGTTTGGGTATTGCAGTGGGCACTGTTGGATCAATTGGGAGGAAATGGAAACTGTGTCATACCACCCAGGATCTGCCTAGACCATCCCTTCCCTCAAAACTCAGCTGAGAGTGGAGTGTGAAAAGCTGGCAAACTTAACTGTCATTGCAGCAAAAGGTGGTTCTGCCAAGTACTGGTCTAAAGAGGTTGAATATTTATGCAAGCAGCATTTTCCAGTTTTTAAGTCTTTCAAAGATCTGCTGACAAATAATTAATTTTAGTTTTTAAAAATTTCTCTTTAAGAGTATATTGATTTGCAATAAAAAAAAAAAAAATACTGCCTGGAACAATCTGTGTAAGTGTAATTTTTAGTCCAGATGAATCTGATGACTTTTAAGAGGGTTGAATACTTTTTTAAGGCACTGTAAGCGTTTCTGCAACAATAAAACAATGCTTTAGCTTTTTTAAATGACCTTCAAATGGATTCCAAATGGTTGTTAATTTCACCCCATACTGAGACGAAGGGTGCTGCCTTTGGAGGGAGTTAGATAGACATATGAATGGACTGCAGCCAAACACACTGAACACGTATATGTGCCTTCGCACGTATGGAGATAAGTAATCATGCATGACTTTACGTAATGCAAGTACTTAGCTTAAGTCCATACATTACACATTAACTGAACTATACTGTTAACATGAATTTTGAATTATAAACTGTGACTTATAAACTATAAATGTTTAATTTGTTAATTTTCAAATTCTGAATAACTATCATTTGTTAATATCCATTAATAATGTATTATGGAAATCTATGATAAAGTGCTACCATTACTTTTGACGTAATAGGAAATGACTGAAAGGCTTTTTGACAGATCCCTTCTAAACAGTTCTATATTTTGTGGAGGAGCTGATTGAGGCTGAAGACTTGACAATGGAGACAGTGACATTGTTCAAGTTACACTGCACAAAGTGCACTCCAGCTACTAATTTCTGCATAGAGACCTTGAGAATACAAGTGTGTGTGTGTGTGTGCGATAGAGAGAGAGAGAGAGAGAGAGAGAGAGACAGGAAGAATGAGTGAGAGAGAGAAAGAGAATGACTGGTGTTTAATCAGCCTCACTTTCCCTAGGCATTACTTCACTTCATTCTTCTCTCTTTCTTTCTTTTTTATTGAGCCAATTTAAGTCAAGTCAGACAAAATGATGTAAAACATCAACAAAGGTACCACCTAATTACCATAAGTTTGTGGCAGACACCTTGATGCTCTGTTTCATCTGATTCACAAGACTTCCATGGGGCTTTAAGCATGCCAACACACACACACACACACACACACACGCACATAATAGGCTTCAAAAGGAAAGAGAGAGGTTAGATATTTAAATATACCTCCCAGTTTGCTGAAGGGTGTGTAGTAGACATTCACACTGGGTTTTAATTGACCATGAGTTCAAAATGACAAAACAGAAATCTATGGCACCATGACCCTGGATGAAGTAGTTACTGAAAATGAATGAATGAATTTATGAATCAAATAGCTGTAGGTTATACCATGGTTATACCAAAGCCACAAAAATAACAGTAAGAAAAGTGAATTGTGAACTTTAAATATAGATGTTCAGGAATACAATTAGCATGAAAAATGAATGTATTATGTATTATGACCTTTCTTATGCCCATCATTAGAAGCCATAAATCATTGTGTGTTCATAATTTTGGCAGGCTGGCAAAGCAAAGAAGCATAACAAAGCCTGATAATAGACAGTCACACACAGAGGAACATTCTCTCACACTTCTCTTGCTAAAATGCCTTTAATCAATAAAACTCTATGATTTGGTGGCTTGGAGAAATAAAGGGAAAAATAAGTGAATTTTTACTTTTGTTTTTGTTTTTGTGCATAACTTTAATGGAAAAAAAAGACTTGCTAATAACATTGAACTTAAAGGTGCGTGGTGGCATTCTGTCTGTGAATTAAACATTGCTATTCTCAAAAGGGCTTTGTGGAAATGAAGGCTTCATGAGCCCAGTTTGGAAGGCAAGATTTCTTGTCTTATTGCAAAGCTTGTTGTCAGTGAGTTGAAGCTCAATTCCAGTGTGCTGCAGGGCACTGACACTTAAAAAGCAAAAGCAGAAGCGAGAGAGGAGGAGAGAGAGACATTGATTGACTGTGAAAAAAGAATAATTTTCAGCCATTCAATAATAATTCTGCATAGTTCAGCACTTTTTCAGATAATTGCATTTGCAATAGAGGTCCCTGTTTTCGCTTCACTAAGAAATCAAGGAAGATTAAACCCCAGGTGCTCTTTTTTTAGCACACATACTAAAAAGTGTATGTGCGTCTTTTTTTGTGCGCTCAACCTTAAATGTTCATCATTATAGCTAATGGCAGGCTGTTTTGCACACAACAACCTCCCAGTTGCTAATACGTTACCAGCTGTTTTGCATGCTGTGTGCTCTCACACATACACACAGTTTCACACATAAATAAGCATTCTGCAACACTCACACCTGAACAAGGCCTAAGTGCTCCATCTTTGTTATTGTACTTACTCCAGCGGCCTGTCTCTCCTTGCCCAGCATGCAAATCTAAAGTAACCAAATTCTGCTACTATCAAGACTGATGCTGTTCTCTCACTCTGTGCACCAAAAGAGAACACATTCATTACCTCCTGGTTTTGACTTCCCCATCTTTCTTCAAATTAAATAAGTGGCTGCTGTTGCCTCACCGCATGTGTACTAAAATTGCTGTAAGATTAATCAGAAAAAACTATATTACTGTGATGTGAATTAATGTAACCAGGACATGGTTTGTGATGAATGGCTAAATGAAATATCCATGTAAAAGAAAGAGATAAAAGGTAAGAAAAAAGATGAGGAAAAAGAGACTCCCTAGCAAAAACACATCAGCAAACCTGTATCCGTTCCACTCATGCATCTAGAGTTAGTTTTTCTTTATTTATTTACAGCTGTTGAGAGAAACAGCCTGCACAAAAGACTTCACTGTCAGGACAGGAAAAGGTAAATGTGTGTGTGTGTGTGCGTGTGCGTGTGTATGTGGTGGTGGGGGGTGAGAGGCAGGGTCTATAAGCTAAACTTTATATGAAATAGAGGATCAAATGTCCGAACTCTTATTCAGCTTATGGCCATAGTAACCCTGCGCACTGCTGGACAATTCACCATGTATGTTTTTTATTATATACAGTATATTTATATAAAATATGGATGTAACCAAATACAAATACATTATTTGGCATAGAATGTGTTCTAAATGAATACAAATGCAGATATGTATAGGAGGTGCATTACTACTGTTTTTTAGATTTATTGCCAGAGAGGTAATAGGTCACAGGGCATCTGGTTGAGATTAGAAGTGTGTTTAGCACAAGCAGGTGTTTTTTACCTTCATGTGGACATGAATGGTCATACATAAAGGCCATGCTCATTAATTTGAATGTGTGGCACTGCACAATGCATTTACATAGTAACTGCCTGGTCCACAGTGCTTTAAATTAGGCTACTAATTTGGGTTGTGGTTGCCAAAAGCATTGCAGCACAAAGATCTTCATTAAATAGTAGCATCACATTGAACATACTCTCTCCCAGTTAAGATGATCGTAACTTTGTGATGCTTTTAGGACACTCAGACTGGTTTTTATTCTGGAAAATAGAATCAGCTAAATTTGTTAGAAAATATCACGGACAGGTACATACAGACACAAATATTCTGAGCACTAAAGAGATACATTGGCATTGCGTTATACCCCTAATAT